CTTCTGTCCCAAAACTGAATGAAGGGTAAGCATGGTCTCCGACCTCACATCTTTTGCTACCCTGCAGATAAGCTCACAAACCCTTATTCTTTCATGAGTTTTTAATAATAAAAATGAAAGTAACAAATATGACAAAGCTCTCCAAACTAACATGGCAGTTCTCCACAACTGAAAAATCTTACCAAGTTCTTATAGCCATTGTCCCACAACTACAGTTTCTACAGTTTCTCACTGCCTTGCTTATCTAGAACTCAGAAGCCTGAAGTTCCAGATAAGGCAAGTTCCGGGCAGCCCCCACTGAATGACATTCATCTCAAAAACCCTGCCTCACATTGTGAAGGGTCGCTTGGGCCTTTCCTCATAGGTGCTTCTCTTACTCTTACCTTTTCTAGAAACTACTTGGAGAAAATATATTTCTCCCCATAATTGGCTAATTAATCACAGCTAAGTGACTGCAAAGTTCCTCTCGTGGCAGCCCATTTAGTACCTGCCACACCCTAACTTTCCTCCTAAAAGAAACTGTCCCACCCTGTGCCACAGCTGACTGGACCAATGACAGTGGTAATGGTAGCTGACCCCAGGGTTATCAGTCTTCAGGAGGCCAGCAACTCATGAAGTTGCTTTGCATGAAAAGGTCTTTTCAAACAGCATTAGCGGTGACTGGCTTGGTCAATCAAATTATCTCTTTCTGGACTAGGAAATTCTGGCATAGAAGGAATCAACGGATAACAGGAAGAAACTTGAAAAGAGAAGGAGGAAGGGAGGGGGCAGCTGAGGCACAGTGACGGTGTAACAGCTAAAACCCTTGACTACCAGATGGGGTAGAAAACACCAAGATCATCTGGTTCCCATTGATTTCCATCCAAGAAAGGTGGTATCAGCTTCTGTACACATTCTAAAATAACAAGATAAAATGCCAACTCTGGCACACTTTTCTCCATCTACAATTCTGAGTCAATTAAATATAGCACCAGTCCAATTCATTCTACTAACCAAGTGTTACATGAACATGATGAAACAAAACTTTAAATCATGGTCTCTTAAAATCCTAATCCAGGAAAAAGCAAAACTTGGGGTATAGCATAGGAAAATGTCCTCACAGCTCAATGTCAGTCAGTTTATTCAAGGCACAAATTATCCAAAGTAAAGTAAAAATTAACGCACAAATGATGGGAAGAAAATTCCACCCAGCATCTATTATGTATTAGGTATTTTACAAATAGCATCTCACTTAATTCTCACAATAACTCTCCCTGAAAGGTAAGTATTATAATCATCCTAATTTCACAAATAAGAAAGGTGAGACTCAGACAATCTAAGTAACTTGTCCACATGCACACAGCAAATAAATGACTGAACTGGGATTTAAACCCAGGTTCTGTCTGAGTCCAATACCCATGTTCTTTCTAATCCACCATTCTGCCTTATAAGAGACTATTACAGATAACTCAACATGTTTCACTTCTGAAACATGTTGATCCCAACAACATTATGCAGCCATCAAAAAGGCTCTGTATATATTGATATATAACAATCTCCAAAATATATTGTGAAGCCAAAAAAAGCAAGATGCAAAAAAAAAAAAAAGTGTATAGTGCACCAATATTTGTGTTAAAAACTGGAAGCAAAGAGTGGGAATGATATATGCACATATACACTGGGGTGTGCATAGAATATGAAGGACAGGGGCGCCTGGGTGGCTCAGTTGGTTGAGCATCTGACTGTTGATTTTGGCTCAGGTCATGATCTCATGGTTTCTGAGATCGAGCCCCGTGTCATGCTCTGCACTAACAGCATAGAACCTGCTTGGGATTCCCTTTCTCCTTCTTTCTCTGCCCCTCCCCCCCAACACAAGAGCATGCACGCGTGCTCTCTCTCTCAAAACAAATAAATAAATAAAATTTAAAAAAAGAATACGAAGGACAGCAAGATACTACTAAAAGTGAAGATAGCAAAATGTTTCACTGTCTCCCCTTCTGTTTTTCTGAATTTGGAACAAGGGTATGTTTTATCCATTCAAAAGAATATTTTTTTTTAAGACCACAAAGTGATTTCAACAACCTACAAATCTCTGTCCTTTGTGGTGTTTTCAGGAATGAAGATATCCCCAGTTTTCTACATCTGAGTCTTCAAAGCAAGTTATCCAGAAGCAACAGACTTTCTAACCAGACACCTAGAGCACTCTTCTCTTGTTTTCATAAGAATTAACACTCATTAGGAAAATTAGTAAAACAGCCTCAGAGAGAACTATTTTTTGCCTAGAAAGTGAATGAGATTTGGAAAATTTTGAGGTGAGGGATTACCAGGATAGGGGAATCAATAAGAAACAGAACGTGCTCTATCTCTATCCTGTCTCTGTCTTCCTCTTCCTTCCACCTCTCATTAAAACCAAAATCTCTGTTGAAGCTCACAACTTGAGAGAAAATGAGAAGAAGGAGGAGAAGGAGGGAAAGGAGGCAGAGGAGGAGGACGACGACAATGAAGACAACGGAGAAACTTTATGCCAGAATGATTTCCAGATACATTAAAGATTTAAATATCAAAGCTGTGGACATAACAAAACTAATAGAAATTAGAAGTGAGTAAGTATATGATTAAGCAATAGGGAAGGTCTTTCTAAAAACATACAACGAAGGCAAAAAACATCAAGGAGATGATCAATAGATCTGACTAAACACTAATTTTAAAATTTTATATGTAAAAAAAGTCATTACTAAAAATCATGAGTCAAATAACCAATGGAAAATATTTGCAACATTATTACAAAAGATAACAGTCTTTACCATCTAAAGAGTTTTTATAAAAATCACCCAAAACTGAAAAGGAGAACAAGAAACAGAAACACAAACTCCATCCTCACTGAAACCAGGAGATATCAGTAACCCCAAACCACAGAATGTGAAGACTGGAGAGTGATTTTTTTTGAGAGAAGAGAGGTCAGACCAAGTGCCTACAAAGGAGTTTGTCCCTCAGAAATCCAGAAAGCAGAAATATTAAAGTCCCAGGGAAATAGCAAGGCCGGGGCAGATGGGGCTGATAACAAGGGTGGGTTTAAGAAGAATTTAAGCCTCCTGGGACTCCTCCCCACCTCTTATAACCGAACAAAAGATAGATTTTTTGTTCCTGCCGGAAAAGATTTATCTCTGGAGAAACCACACAAGAGAGGTTCTGGACTCAGGGACACCAGAAACTGAGAAAGACACATGAGGACATCTTACTGAAAACAAGGAGGCTAAATAAAGATTTGCACATATACCCACACCCACACACCCACTGTAGAATACATGAAGCTCTGTTTTAGCCCCCAGGTAAAAGCTGAACTAGATAGAGGCCCTATCTGACCTGGGAAGGATTTCGCTGAGGTCAGATTGTTGGAGCAGTTGTGGGGGAGGGAAGGAATACGATATAGCTACTGAGTCCCTCACTCCACATAATGAGGAGTATTTCCCTGCCGGTTAGTAAGGCTAAAGGTGTAAGCAGGTAAGGACAGCGAAAGGGGGGAGGGCTGTATGTGGGGGTGGTAACTGATTTGGACACATCACCAGAAGGCATGACCAGTCCTGATGGAAGTAACTTGCTCTGTATCTTTACAATACCCTGAGAAAGCTGAGACAATAAAATTGGCAATTATTCGTAACTCATCAGTGCTGTTTTATAGTTGACTCTCCTCCCTCTTTCTACTCTCCCTTCCTTGCTGGACTCCACAGATCCTGCCTAGGCTCCAGTCTCAACAAAAAAAAATCCCATAGCCCCTGGTCTTGACTCTGGGCCCCTCATTCCCCACCTGTTTCCCCTCAACCACTGACCTACTGAGGATTCAGAAGGATACCACCTCCCCAAGTCCCAAACCATGCACAAGATCTGATGTTTGTCTCAGTCCCTGGGAATGACCTGGTTTGTCCCTAGACTCTGTTTGTCAATAAATCTCAACATCCTCAGTGAGACAATCTCTGTCTTCACCTGGCAAAACCAAGTTTAAGGTGTACTTTTAGACCTAGGCAAAGATAGTAACTTGGGATGGGGCCCCAATGATAACTGTAGATGCAACTGACAGAATCTATGGATCTAATTAGTCAATGAAGCTAAATATACTTGTAGTCAGATTGAAACAAATGTAGTCAAAAGGAAACAATAAAACTTAATCCTAGGGACACCTGGGTGGCTTGGTTGGTTAAGCATCAGACTCTTGACTTTGGCTCAGGTCATGATCTCGAGGTTAGTGAGTTTGAGCCCTGCATCAGCACTGTCAGTGCAAAGCCTGCTTGGGATTCTCTCTCTCCCTCTCTCTCTGCCCCTCTCCCACGTGTGTGTGTGTGTGTGTGTGTGTGTGTGTGTGTGTGCGCGCGCGCTCTCTCTCTCTTTCTCAAAATAAATGAATAAACTTAATTAATCCCCAGGGTTGTCTTTTATCTTCTGCAATAGCCCTCATGAAAAGTGTTCTTCTTTCATACCCACCGCAAAGTGCCGACCAGTCAAGGTCGGGCATTCCCCCCAAGTCTAGACACTTGCTCCCAGAGAGACTGTAGGGTCTAGTGGCAAGCATGTAGCCCCTGGATGCAGAAGGCCCAGGGTGCAAATAACCCCCTTCTCTGTGCCTTGCTCTTCCTACCTGTAAGATAGGGAGAAGAAACTGCCTTCCCTTCCTTCCCAGTAAGGATTCGAAGTTATGAATATGAAGTGGTGACTGGAACCCCTGGCTCCAATTAGGCTTCTGCAAATTGTAGTTACTGCAGTCAGGAAATACATATAGATTCCAGGCACCAAGCTGCCCTGGCTTTATGGCATTAAGGAGTCAATGCCACATCTCACCCCCTCTGAGGAAACTTCCAAAGGAGCATCTTCTGACTTTCAAGTAAGTAGAGGCCCAACTAAGTGTGGGTATGAGAATGGTTGTATGTATGTCCCAGGTATAGGCCTGAGAGCCAGTCCAGACAGATCTCTGAGGAATCACTGCTTTCCCCTGCTCCAGAGGAAAGCACTGAGACTATTTCTTCACACACCTGGAAAAGGTTAGCAGCTTCCAGGACCCGTTGCACATTCTGCTTGGTGATCAGCGCCTTGCTGGTGTATGTGTAGTCCAGAAGAGTGTGCATGGTCTCAGCATCGACCCCTTTGATAATGATCCTCTTCTCATACTTTTCCTTTAAATCATTGCAGAACATGGCCCTGGAAGAGAGATGTGTGAATGTGAGTGCTACCATGACCTTAACAGACCCCCTTCACACCTATCTGCCCCCACAGAACAGCGAGGTCCCTAAGGTCAGGACCTGGGATGATTGTTCTGTGTTCCTCTAACACCCAGAACACACCAGACATTCAATTAATACTTACTGAACTGAGGTGTCCTGCTCTGCTGTACCCAGCTGTGGTCCCTAAGGCAATCCCAGATCTGAAGGAAGAGTAGGAGCCCTACTGGCAAAGCTGGTGGGATCTAGAACTACTTTATTGGCCCAAAGAACTACTTTAATGGCTCAAAGTGCTGGAGAGTCTTCTGGGAGCATTGTAGCACCCTTCTCCTGCCCAGGCCTTCTCAACTACTAGTACCCCAAAACAGGGTTTCTCATTCAGTTCTCAGTTCTCATTTAAGCCTTCCTCTGTCCTGGAAGCTGGCCTCCACACCCAGGCCTGGCCAGCTGGGGCCCGAATGCCCTCCAGTAACACAAGAGGTCTTGCTAGTACCTCTCACTCCAGAGGCTCAACCCCTGTCTATGGCTTGTCTCCCAACTGGGAGCCTCGAATTGCCTTATCATAGGACAGAACTCCCCAAGGCCATTACTCTGTCTCACCTCTAGCTATGCTTATTCCCTCCCCAGGACTAGACTATTGGATATTTAGTGTCTATCCTGGAAGCAGGGGAACAGATGGAAAAGATGTTGATCTTGACATGGGATGGACCAAGATTTGAAAACCAGATCCACCAACTCAGAACTTGGACATGTTACTTAATCTCCAGGAGCTTCAGCTTTCTCGTCTATAATGGGAATTTTAGCAGTCATTTAAAAGTTTGATGTAAGGATTCTCAATAACTAATAGATAAGTAGAAATACAAAGATATTTTTTACCCCCTCCCAGGCTCATATGTGAATTTATCATGCTACCTGGACATTGATATTTGAATTATCAATTCCTCTCAAGAAAAGTATGAGTAATTTTATTTATTTTTAACGTTTTTTAATTTATTTTTGGGACAGAGAGAGACAGAGCATGAACGGGGGAGGGGCAGAGAGAGAGACACAGAATCGGAAACAGGCTCCAGGCTCTGAGCCATCAGCCCAGAGCCTGACGCGGGGCTCGAACTCACGGACCGCGAGATCGTGACCTGGCTGAAGTCGGACGCTTAACCGACTGCGCCACCCAGGCGCCCCTTTATTTATTTTTAAAATGCACTGAAGTCCTACTGTGTTTCTGGAGTTTTGATAACTTAAAAGGTATCTAAAATATAATGATTGCATAAATGATAAGCAGGGTAAAGATGATTAAATATGTGAGTGGAGACATGAAGATAGTCTATGAATGAGGCTAGGAGTGCCACTGAACTGTCACTATAGGTGGGCCTCCCATTTGACCAATGCAAAAGAGAGACCATCTGGTCAGTTACATAATCACACAATTTTTTTTTCAATATATGAAGTTTATTGTCAAATTGGTTTCCATACAACACCCAGTGCTCATCCCAAAAGGTGCCCTCCTCAGTACCCATCACCCACCCTCCCCTCCCTCCCACCCCCCATCAACCCTCAGTTTGTTCCCAGTTTTTAAGAGTCTCTTACGCTTTGGCTCTCTTCCACTCTAACCTCTTTTTTTTTTCCTTCCCCTTCCCCATGGGTTTCTGTTAAGTTTCTCAAGATCCACATAAGAGTGAAACCATATGGTATCTGTCTTTCTCTGTATGGCTTATTTCACTTAGCATCACACTCTCCAGTTCCATCCATGTTGCTACAAAGGGTCATATTTCGTTCTTTCTCATTGCCACGTAGTACTCCATTGTGTATATAAACCACAATTTCTTTATCCATTCATCAGTTGATAGACATTTAGGCTCTTTCCATAATTTGGCTATTGTTGAGAGTGCTGCTATAAACATTGGGGTACAAGTGCCCCTATACATCAGTACTCCTGTATCCCTTGGGTAAATTCCTAGCAGTGCTATTGCTAGGTCATAGGGTAGGTCTATTTTTAATTTTTTGAGGAACCTCCACACTGTTTTCCAGAGTGGCTGCACTAGTTTGCATTCCCACCAACAGTGCAAGAGGGTTCCCGTTTCTCCACATCCTCTCCAGCATCTATAGTCTCCTGATTTGTTCATTTTGGCCACTCTGACTGGCGTGAGGTGATATCTGAGTGCACAATCACACAATTTTATATATAACAAATCCAAATGCTCAGAGAATTACTATTGTTCTCAGCACAAAAACTATGTGGAACTTCCCTTATGAATGGACAGCAGCCTTGCAACATTCCCACCAGAGACAGTATATTCATGAGGCTGATCCTTAATAGCTATAGCTGACACAATTCCTTCAGTCTGATTCCCACAAAAACCTGTTAACTCCCTCTTGCCCTCCCAGGAGCTGTGGGATCCCAGCAGTCCCACAGGCTTGAACAGCACAGCTTATAAAAACAATTACTTGGAGGCAATGGAATTAAATTTCTTTCAATATGCCATACATTTACTGAGCACCCTCTCTGCATAGAATACTGGGCTAAAGCTGGAAGGGATTTAAATATCAGGCAGTCTCTGGACTTAACTGAGTCCCCCTAAAATTCATATATTGCAGTCCTAACCCACCAACGTAGACAGCGCTTTTAGGAGGTAATTAAGGTTAGGTGAAGTCATAATCCAATAGGATTTGTGTCCTTAAAAGAAGAGGAAGAGACATCAAAACTCTATCTCTCTCTCTGCTGTGTAAGCATACAGTGTCTGTCTATAAGCCAGTCTTCACCAGAAACCGACCATACTGACACTCTTATCTTGGACTTTCAGACTCTATAATTGTGAGAAAATAATATTTTATTGTTGAAGACACCCAGTCCATGGCAATTTTTTTATGGAAGTCCAGGCTGACTAATACAGGCTGTCTCTCCCCTAGTCCCTAGTTGTTCAGAATCTAGCAGGGACACATCTGCACAAATAATAGTCTACAAGGGTCAAAAAGACTTATACAGTGCTGTGGAGGCAAGGGGTGGCTTCTCATGGAGAAGGAAAAGGTTGCTATGTGACAACTGTGGATAGGACATCCAGGTAGTAAACATGGTAAGTAGATGCAAGAGTGTGGGACAGGCAGAGGATCTAGCAAGCACATGGTTTGGCTGGAGCCCAGGGGTGATGAGAGAGGGTGGGGAGAGATCGGTCCAAACAGATAACCTGGGTCCTGACTGTGGAAGGTACTAGAGGCAGGCTAAGGAGTTAGGTATTTTATTCAGTGGGCAATGGTGAGCCAATGAAGGTTTATGAACAGAGGCAGGACTCAAAAAGAACTTTTTTTTTAAGTTTATTTATTTGAGAGAGAGAGAGAGAGAGAACAAGCAGGGGAAGGGCAGAGAGAGAGAGAGAAAGAGAGAGAGAGAGAATCCCAAGCAGGCTCCGCACGCCATCATCACAGAGCCCAACTCAGGGCATGATCCCATGAACCGTGAGATCATGACCTGAACCAAAACCAAGAGCCAGACACTTAATCGACTGAGCCACCCAGGTGCCCCAAAAATAACATTTTTAACAGGTGTGTTCTCACTTTAGTTTGCTGGTGATGGATGCATTTGGAGTAAAGCATTAATTGCACCCAAACAGAGCCGGGAGGCTTGTGACAGTGCCAAAGCCTTGTCCCAGAAACTGTACTACTTGAGGCAGTCACCATGCTGCTAAGTGACTGGACCTCCTGAGCTTTAGACACATGAACAGGAGCCTTAGAGAATCATTATCTCCCAGCCAAGTAAGTCACTGAAATGGGAAAGTCCCAGTGTAGAGCCCTGATGATAGAATGCACTTCCCCAAAGTGGGACTTCCATACCAACACAGAGAGAATTTGATCCTTAAATCCTGCTCCTCCTCCCTTTTCCACACCTCCTATTTCTGTCTGGGAATCCCCCATCAGTTTCTTTTCCCTATTTCCTAATCTGCAAAACAAAGGTACCTGCTTCTGGTTTCCCAGGAACAATCATAAACATCAAAAATCAAAAGTCCCCAGAAAGAAAGAGATTGAGAAAAAGAGAGAAATCACTTGACTAGCTGACTTTTTGAACCTTTTGTGTTAGCCAATGAGATCTTCTCCCTAAGGTCTCCTAGTGTCCTATCCCCCCCCCCCCCCCCCCCCTGGTCTAATCAACAGTAATCCTCTCACCCTCCCTCCTCCTCTTCTCTTTCTTCAACTGGCCTCTTTTCCCTCAAGAATATGACAGCAAGAAAGAAACAACAAATGTGAATTCTGCAAAGTACTTGGAAACAGAAAGGCAGTGATGTCATGTGGGCAGATGACCGATTTAAAAGCCATTTTTGTCAGCCATAAATCCTCCTAGCCAGAGATGAATGGTCATCTGCAGAACCGCATGCCTTTTAAAGTGGTGTCACACAGGACTCACCTTGCTGCCTCCTGATCACATAAAGAACCCTGCCATCACAACATCCACACAATTTCTTCCCAGATCAGCCTGTCCAGGATTTGGACAACTTCACTTGCTAAACCTCCCCTTCTTCGAGCCCCTAGAGCAGCACTGCCCATAGAAATATAATGTAAGCCAAATGTGTAATTTCAAATTTTCTACTAACCATGTTTTTAAAAAGTAAAAGGAGATGAAATTAATTTTAGTATCTTTTATTTAGCCCAATACACCTCAAATGTTGTTTCAACATGTAATAAATATTTTTAATGAGTTATTAATGAGATAACTTACATCCTTATTCCCACAGAGACTACAAAATCCCTCATAGACATTTTATACTTAAAAGCACATCTCGGGGCGCCTGGGTGGCGCAGTCGGTTAAGCGTCCAAACTTCAGCCAGGTCACGATCTCGCGGTCCGTGAGTTTGAGCCCCGCATCGGGCTCTGGGCTGATGGCTCAGAGCCTGGACCCTGTTTCTGATTCTGTGTCTCCCTCTCTCTCTGCCCCTCCCCCGTTCATGCTCTGTCTCTCTCTGTCCCAAAAAATAAATAAACGTTAAAAAAAGCAC